TCTTCCAGTAAACCACCATGACAAAAAACCATGATTATTTGGAATTGAGGTTCATTCTACTCTCTCTGGAACTAAGAATACAGACTGTTATTTTTTACGGCTACCACTGAGCTGGGGAGCAGGTTATTGGGGGTCAAAATGCCACAGGTTTTTGTTCTTACCAAGATTCAGCCATATTTGTATATGTTCCCAAGGATGCTAGAAGCCTTTTGGTTAATTTTCAAAGTTCCAAAAAAGTTGGTTCCAGCCATTTTTGCCATTTGATTCATCGTGTTTATGGAGGGTTGAACTTTCAGAGATACTTACTCTGCCACTTCCCACTGCACCATTCTTGCCTCTACTTCTCTTTATACATCTGCCCACTCCTCTGTTGTATGTGCCCTGTTACTGCCAGCAGAACTAAATGACTATATTTCTTGTGCTAGTCATTCCCTAACTGGATTCTCTGTGTCTCTTAGTTCAAATTGTTGTGAGAGAAAATCTGATTGAAACATCTCAGGCAATGGAATGATTCACTCTGTACTAGTCATCTATTTTTGTTTGGAGCGAAAGACAACATATAAACATGGCCACCCGGCCTCTTGTCTTATGCAGGAGTTGTGTTGGGAGGTAGTGACAAGGAAAAGGAAGACAAGCAGTCTTGCATTTCCAGCACAGACTTCATAGTTTATTTCTGTCCATGTGCCAGTGACTCCCATTCTCTCATGCATATTCTGAAAACTTGTTTCTGGGAATGCAACCCTCAGGTCACTCCCCTCAGGACTAGGCTGGTATTCTTTTCCCACATTTCTGTCCTCTTTCAGGCCCTTTCTTTTATTCTGCCTGGGTCATCTCTTTGCAGGGCCCCTGAAGACCAAGAGAATCACTTCCCCCTTTCTCTATAGTACTGCCCTTGAAATAAGCATACAAAACCATCATTTTTCAAGATGTTCAGAAGAAGGAGACACCGTTTAATAAATTAAAAAGTTAAGCCATTTCTTCTCATCTGCCTGCATGGTTCTGCACCAATATTGTGCTAAACTTTGGGTGCTGGTTACCCCTTCACTTCTACCTGCCTTTGTGTCTTATCCTTTACTTTGGTCTTTGATTTATGTGGTCTCCCAGCTCTCTAACTACTTTCTAACTCCTCTTGACTTTGCATTATGCCTAGTTTTTCTAGATTTTCTGTTTTGAGCTTATCTGCTGCTATTTCCAGGGTGCAAGACTACTCATTCACTTATCAAATCCTTCATAAACAAATCATTCAGTATTCAGAAAAATCATATGATAGGCAAAGTTAATGGTTTGTCTTACACAAGCTGTTGGTTTGTGTAGCAGGTGATATTGATGCTCCTTCATATCCGATTGGCCCACAATAGAAATCACCTTTAGCTTGAGTAAACTCTTCTTATATAGGCTAATGGCTTTCTACCTTAAACACCTGCATCTCTCTCTTCCTGAGGCCTTCATCTGGTTATAGGACATTCTTGGCCTACAAGATGGTCATGCTGGAACTGTTGGAGAATTAATCCTCCCAGGAGCAGCCCTCAAGCAATGATAGATTAAGGTTGATGAATAAATGCCCTGGCTTGCTCAGGAGGACAACCCTGAAGTGTGTGTTTGAGAGTCCTAGAGATTCAAGCAGGATTAAACCCTAGTTATTCATAGCATTATTCTACTCTTTAACACTCTGTGTTGGTTCTTTTTCTTCCCTCACTTCCTTTTTTCCTCACAATATTTCCTGGAATTGCTTCCCAAATAAATTACTTGTTCCAAAATTCTTGTCTCAGTGTCAGCTGTTGGAGGAACTCAAGCCAAAACAGTAGGATAATTGGCTTTACTCAGAGTCACTGAAGACAGTGATGCTATCTATGGTAGGAAAAGGGAGGCTATGATTACCCTTTTGCACAGATACAACTTTGAAAGTGTTACACATATTCTAGTATGGGACTGAGTTGGGGAGACATCTTGAACTTTGGAGAGAATTCAGAGAACCAAGATCGAGTTCTGACTGCCTCATCAAGCCATGAAGATTTTTGCCAGGAAAGCTCTAATCAGAGAGTGCCAGGTGGTTTTCATAAAGCAGAAACAACAGGTATGCCCATTTTATGCAAGAAAACTGCTGCACAGAAAGAACATCTTTATCAACTTTTAGCCCAACATAAGGGGTACTGATATGGTCTCACCAAAAGCCATATTATTATCACATTCAAGTCAACAGCCACTTAAGAATCCTTATGTTTTTGTAAGAACTTGTTGCAAGGTGATGATGAGAACAACTTGACTAAATATTGCTTACCACCATGGTGAGTTATAAGGCCAGCTGAAGGTGCTCTCTTGATCACAGTGGCTCATTAGGTAGTTGAAGATAGAAGAGTCTCAAGCAGACCCATCCAGGTGTGTAGTGAGGTTATAACAAATGCCAGCTGCTGAGAGGTTAGAGAAGCTTTGGAGAAAATTATCTGGGTCCTCAGATACACTACTGGAGAGGCAAATTGAAAGTTACTGATTCACTTATGTGTATCCAACTCCATGATACTTTCTTCAAAGGAGAGATTCTGCAAGCTCATGTTGGTATTTCTGGAGGAAAAAGCATGGGCAGGATTGAAAAGAGAAAAGACATTGCAATGCTACTATTTGTGTCCAAGAAGCAGAGAAATACATGATTACAAGAGAAACTCTTTATGTCAGACATCTCATTTGCAACCCAGATTTTGAAATCTCAACCATTTACTGCCTCAGGAAAGGGCACCTATCAGAAAGGACAGAGGGTGATCTGTTATGTAGTTTCACATATGATTTCCTATAATATAATAAGAGTGTATAAGCTATTATCCCTCATTTTATTGGTAAGGGAATTGAGATTTGGGGAGAAGGCATGACAACCAAGATGTAAAGAAATACCAAGTGCTGATTATCTCTAGTTCTATCCACTCCTTAAGGTGGGCTACTATTCCCCAGACCCTGGGATTGCCTAATACAGTAAGGTGGCTGACCTCCCAGGTGTGATGGTGGAGATGGAGGCCAGGCCTACTCTGCCCCTCTCCAATGCTGCCTCCTCCTCTCAGCGGGGGACACAGGTCTCCTTTCTAGCATCCACCATTTCACATGGTCCTGGTTCTGTTTATGTGTTTTCACAATGCAGATCATTTATGCCCCATGCCTTGCCTTGTCCTGCCTCTTCTGTAAAATGAAAAATTTGATAAAGGGCATTTAGAACAAATAGTTTACAATTGTAAATATCAAAATGGAAAACCTGAATTCATCTTGGTTCTCCTTCCACCTCCAAGAGGAGAAAGAATTCCCCAGGGCTAAGGTTTTTGACTTATATCTAATTCTATGTCCCACCTCCCACTATACTGTGGAAGCAGAAAATCTAAAACACTAGACTCCCTAGCCTTTCCAGGCTCCCTTGCAGCTAGGGTTCTAGATTCTTCTAGATCTTATATTTATTCATGCAAAATTTGGATGGTGGAAGGGATGTGGAGGCCACCTTTCTGCAGAGATGGTGGCTGGTGGGCAGCTGTGACCTCCATGTTTGCAGTGATGTGTTGTGAGGGGGACTGTGCTGGTGGCACTTGTGAGGGCAAGAGCAAACACAGTATCATGACCTGCTGCTGCAGTGGTGTGGTTCAGCAGTGGCCCCTGACTTCTTTATTTCCAGCTTTTCCACAGATGTTGTGAGCACCAAAGTACCTTATTAAATGCCTTCTAAGAATAGCTGCTTACCAATCATCTGGCTAGCCCTCTGTTCCAGTTGCTACCACTGTATAAGAAACAATCCCCTGGGGAGGGTATGTGCTATGGTGAGCGCTGTGAATTGTGTAAGACTGTTGAATCACAGATCCGTACCTCTGAAACAAATAATGCAATATATGTTAAGAAAAAAAAAAAGAAGAAGATAGCAGGAGGGGAAGAACGAAGGGGAGTAAATTAGAGGGGGAGACGAACCATGAGAGATGATGGACTCTGAAAAACAAACTGAGGGTTCTAGAGGGGAGGGGGGTGGGGGGATGGGTTAACCTGGTGATGGGTATTAAAGAGGGCACGTTCTGCGTGGAGCACTGGGTGTTATGCACAAACAATGAATCATGGAACACTACATCAAAAACTAATGATGTAATGTATGGTGGTCAACATAACAATAAAAAAATTTAAAGAAAAAAAACAAACAATCCCCAAACTTAGTGGGACAAAATAACAATTTTATTTTGCTCAAATAAGGCATAGTGGCTATGGTTTGTCTCTGCTCCACAATATGAGGGGAATGAAGCTATGAAGACTTAATGGCTGAGGGTGACTTAGTTGGGGGCTGGAGTCATTTAGAAACCTCTTTACTCACAGGTTTGGTAGTTGATGCTAGCTAGGCTGGAACATCAGCTGGGACTGCCAATAAGAGCACCCACACAGCTAGGGCTTCCTCCTAGCACAGAAGCCTCGGGTTGATCAGACTCCTTATATGTCAACTAAGGCTCCCACAGTGACTGTCCCAAGAGAAACAGGTGAAGATTCCCAGGCTTCTCTGGCTTCAGAAGTCATACCTTGACATTCTCACTGCATTCTTTGGGTTGAAGCAGTCACAAGCTGGCCCAGACACAAGGGGAGGGGACATGGTTCACATCTCTAGATGGGAGGAGCTTCAAAGAATGTATGGCCTTAATTTAAAATGCCCTTAGCCCTCTTGGAACACCTGGGTGGCTCAGTCAGTTAAGCACTGACTCTTGGTTTGGGCTCAGGTCATGATCTCTGGGTCCTGGGATCGAGCCCCATATTGGGCTCCTCACTCAGTACAGAGTCTGCTTGTCCTTCTCCCTCTGCTCCTCCCTCTCTCTCTCTCATAAATAAATACAATCTTAAAAAAAAAATACCGTTAGCCCTCTTTCCACAGGGTATCTCAGTAATTGCTCTTTTTCCAGTTTCACTGTGTAAGTTGAAGGCGTACAACATGATGGTTTGATTTACACATATTTGTAATGGTTACCACAAGAGGTGCAGACAACATCTATCTTCTCACACAGGCACAAAATATGGGATGCTTCCTGAATTTGCATGTCATCCTTACACAAGGACTATGCTAGTCTTCTCTCTGTCGTTCCAATTTTAGTATGTGTGCTGCTGAGGCAAGCACTTCAGTAGTTGTTTAATGGTGGAATGGGTATTCAGACACTGAGGTTTTATTAGGATAATGATGTCCTTGGAACTACTTCTGTTTCTCACTCAAACCAACAAATTTCAAGTTAGGAAAGAAAACAGGCACTTTAACAAATATAGAGGTAAGAAGAAAAATATACCTGCTTAGTATTATATACTTTGAAGAGTTTCTCTACCAAAAAAAAAGAAAGAAAGAAAGAAAGAAAGAAAGAAAGAAAGAAAGAAAGAAAGAAAGAAAGAAAAGGAAAATGGCTTTCATAATATATTTCCAAACACAGTATTTTTTATTATGTTATGTTAGTCATCATACAGTACATCATTAGTTTTTGATGTAGTGTTCAATGATTCACTATTTGCATATAACACCCAGTGCTCATTACAATGCTTGCCCTCCTTAATACCCATCACCCAGCTACCCCAACCCCCACTCCCCTCCCATCTGAAACCCTCAGATTGTTTCCCGGGGTCCATAGTCTCTCATGGTTCGTATCCCCCTCTGATTTCCCCCCCTTCAATTTTCCCTTCCTTCCCCTAATGTCCTCCATGCTGTTCCTTATGTTCCACGTATGAGTGAGACCATATGACACTTGTCTTTCTCTGCTTGACTTATTTCACTTGGCATAATCCCCTCCAGTTCTATCCATGTTGATGCAAATGGTGGGTACTCATCCTTTCTGAGGGCTGAGTAATATTCCATTGTATATATGTACCACATCTTTTTTATCCATTTGTCTGTTGAAGGACATCTCAGCTCCTTCCACAGTTTGGCTATTGTGGACATTGCTGCTATGAATATTTGAGTGCATGTGCCCCTTCTTTTCACTACATCTGTATCTTTGGTGTAAATACCCAGTAGTGCAATTGCTGGGTCATAGGGTAGCTCTATTTTTAACTTTTTGAGGAACCTCCGTACTGTTTTCCAAAGTGGTTGTAATAGCTTGCATTCCCACCAACAGTGTAAGAGAGTTCCCCTTTCTCCACAACCTGTCCAACATTTGTTGTTTCCTGCCTTGTTAATTTTTGCCATTCTAACTGGTGTAAGGTAGTATCTCAATGTGGTTTTGATTTGAATTTTCCTGATGGCTAATGATGTTGAACATTTTTTCATGTGTCTGTTAGCCATTTGTATGTCTTCTTTGGAGAAGTGTCTTTCATGTCTTCTGCCCATTTTTTGACTTGATTATTTGTTTTTGGGTGTTGTCTGAGAAGTTCTTTATAGATCCTGGATACCAGCCCTTTATTTGTAATGTTATTTGTAAATATCTTCTCCCATTCCATGGGTTCCCTCTTAGTTTTGTTGACTGTTTCCTTTGCTGTACAGAAGCTTTTTATCTTGATGAAGTCCCAAAAGTTCATTTTTGCTTTTGTTTCCCTTGCCTTTGGAGATGTGTCATGAAAGAAGTTGCTGTGGCTGATGTTGAAGAGGTTACTGCCTATGTTCTCCTCTGGGATTTTGATGGATTACTGTTTTACTTTGAAGTCTTTCATCCATTTTAAGTTTATCTTTGTGTATGGTGTAAGAGAATGGTCGAGTTTCATTCTTCTGTATGTAGCTGTCCAATTTTCCCAGCAGCTTTTATTGAAGACACTGTCTTTTTTCCATTGGATATTTTTTCCTGATTTGTTGAAGATTGGTTGACCATAGAGTTGAGGGTCCATTTCTGGAAACTCTATTTTGTTCCATTGATCTATGTCTCTGTTTTTGTGCTAATACCATGCTGTCTTGGTGATCACAGCTTTGTAATATAGCATGAAATCAGTCAACATCATGCCCCCAGCTTTGTTTTTTTTTTCAACATTCCCTTGGCAATTTGGGGTCTTTTCTGGTTCCATACAAGTTTTAGGATTGTTTGTTCCAGCTCTTTGAAAAATGCCAATGGTATTTTAAGTAGGGATGGCGTTGAAAGTGTAGATTTCTCTGAGAAGCATAGCCATTTTATTATTTATTTATTTATTTATTTATTTTAAAGATTTTATTTATTTATTTGACAGAGAGACACAGCAAGAGAGGGAACACAAGCAGGGGGAGTGGGAGAAGGAGAAGCAGGTTTCCCACGGAGCAGGGAGTCTGATGCGGGGCTCTATCCCAGGATTCTGGGATCATGACCTGAGCCGAAGGCAGGTGTTGAATGACTAAGCCACCCAGGCACCCCAGCATAGCCATTTTAACAATGTTTATTCTTCCAGTCCATGAGTCCGGAATGTTTTTCCATCTTTTTGTGTCTTCCTCAATTTCTTTTGTAAGTGTTCTGTTGTTTCTAGAGTATAGATCCATTATCTCTTTGGTTAGGGTTTATTCTGAGGTATCTATGGTTTTTGGTGCTATTGTAAATGGAATTGATTCCCTAATTTCTCTTTCTTCAGTTACATTGTTAGTGTAGAGAAAAGCAACTGATTTCTGTGCATTTTGTATCCTGCCACATTATTGATTTGCTGTATGAGTTCTAGTAATTTGGGGGTGGAGTCTTTTGGGTTTTCCAAATGAAGTATCATGTTATCTGTGAAGAGAGAGAGTTGACTTCTTTGCCAATTTGAATACATTTTATTTCTTTTTGTTGTCTGATTGCTGATGCTAGGATTTCTAGTACTATGTTGAACAGTAGTGGCGAGTGTGGGCATCCCTGTCGTGTTCCTGATCTTAAGGGACATGTTCTCAGCTTTTCCCGATTGAGAATGATATTCACTGTGGGCTTTTCATGGATGGATTTTATGAGATTGAGGAATGTTCCCTCTATCCCTACACTCTAAAGAGTTTTAATCAGGAAAGGATGCTGTATTTTGTCAAACGCTTTTTCTGCATCAATTGAGAGGATCATATGGTTCTTGTCTTTTATTAATGTGCTCTATCACAATGATTTATATGCAAATGTTGAACCACCCTTGCATCCCAGGAATAAATCCCACCTGGTCGTGATGGATAATCCTTTTAATGTACTGTTGGATCCTATTGATTAGTATCTTGTTGAATATTTTGGCATCCATGTTCATCAGGGATATTGGTCTGTAATCCTCCTTCTTGATGGGGTCTTTGGTTTTGGGATCAGGGTAATGCTGGCCTCATAAAATGAATTTGGAAGTTTTCCTTCTGTTTCTATTTTTTGAAACAGCTTCAGAAGAACAGGTATTATTTCTTCTTTAAATGTTCGGTAGAATTCCCCTGGGAAGCCATCTGGCCCTTGACTCTTGTTTTTTCAAACATAGTATTTTTAAGTAAATAGAATCAATAGAGAAAAGCAAACATCCTTTCCTGCCAGGGAAACCTCCCTTGGGCTCCCTGTTAATCCGGCTCACCTGTTCCCGTTCCTCATGGTCCCCCGTTCTTGGTCCTCATAACATGTGTCTCCATTTGTAACAAAATATTTGCATGATCTTTTCTATAAACTTTTTATTGTGACAAATTGCAAACATACAAAAGTAGACAGCATAGTATCATAAACTCCCATCATTACCAGTTTCAGCATTTTGTCAACTCATGGGCAGTATGATTTTATCTGCAGCTCCTGTCCACTTCTTCCCTTTTGAAGCCAATCCGAGACAGCCTATCGTTTCATCTGTAAAAATTTTAGTATGTATTTGTTAATAATAAAGGCTCGTTTTTCTAAACATAACTGCCATACTATCACATTGAAAATAAGAACAATAATTATTCAACAACAAAGATCCAGTCAGTTCCAAATGTTTAGCTGTCTTACATAAGTTTTAGAGTTTGTTTGAATCAGCATCTAGGGATGCCTGAGTGGCTCAGTTGGTTAAGTCTTCAACTCAGATCATGATCCCAGGGTCCTGGGATCAAGCCCCACATCTGGATCCCTGCTGGATGGGGAGTCTGCTTCACCCTCTGCTCCTCCCTCTGCTCATGCTCTCTCTCTGTCAAATAAATAAATAATCTCTTTATGAATCAGCATCTAAATAGGAGTCCCATTATGGGATTAGTTGATAGGTCCTTTTTTAAATAATTTTTTATTGTTATGTTAATCACCATACATTACATCATTAGTTTTTGATGTAGCGTTCCATGATTCATTGTTTGTGCATAACACCCAGTGCTCCACGCAGAATGTGCCCTCTTTAATACCCATCACCAGGCTAACCCATCCCCCCACCCCCTCCCCTCTAGAACCCTCAGTTTGTTTTTCAGAGTCCATCGTCTCTAATGGTTCGTCTCCCCCTCCGACTTACTCCCCTTCATTCTTCCCCTCCTGCTATCTTCTTCTTCTTTTTTTTTCTTAACATATATTGCATTTATTTGTTTCAGAAGTACAGATCTGTGATTCATCAGTCTTGTACAATTCACAGCGCTCACCATAGCACATACCCTCCCCAATGTCTATCACCCAGCCACCCAATCCCTCCCACCCCCCACCACTCCAGCAACCCTCAGTTTGTTTCCTGAGATTAAGAATTCCTCATATCAGTGAGGTCATATGATACATGTCTTTCTCTGATTGACTTATTTCACTCAGCATAACACCCTCCAGTTCCATCCACATCATTGCAAATGGCAAGATCTCATTCCTTTTGATGGCTGCATAATATTCCATTTTGTATATATACAACATGTTCTTTATCCATTCATCTGTCGATGGACATCTTGACTCTTTCCACAGTTCAGCTATTGTGGACATTGCTGTTATAAACATTGGGGGTGCCAGGTACCCCTTCCGATCCCTACATTTGTATCTTTGTGGTAAATACCCAGTAGTGCAATTGCTGGATCGTATGGTAGCTCTATTTTCAACTGTTTGACGAACCTCCATACTCTTTTCCAGAGGGGTTGCACCAGCTTGCATTCCCACCAACAGTGTAGGAGTGTTCCCCTTTCTCCGCATCCCCGCCAACATCTGCCGTTTCCTGACTTGTTAATTTTAGCCATTCTGACTGGTGTGAGGTAGTATCTTATTGAGGTTTTGATTTGGATTTCCCTGATGCCGAGTGATGTTGAGCACTTTTTCATGTGTCTGTTGGCCATTTGGATGT